ACCTGGTTGGTCAACACCAGAGGATCTGCCAACAGGGCCGGCCCAGCCCAGTCAGAACTTTTACATATTGTAGAGGGGGACAAAGTTCCCGTGGTGCATATGAAGAATTTGCTGAGGAAGACAGTCTGTGTTATTCCTGCTTCAGGTAAAGGCAAACCCACTCGTGGGATTGCTTTTGCTCAGGGACCTGAATATACTTAGGGGGAAATATGGGAAGATGGGGAAGTCCGATGTATACCTCAAGGGGATTTGATTAATTGTATGCTGTTGCCTGCTGTGTAATACTTTTATAGCCCATCAGCTAAATGTCTCCAGGTCATCAGCAACTGCCCTGACTTGCCTCCAACCATCATCCCAACAGAGAATGAACTTCGGTAGAACTGGATGAGTTCTGCAGTAAAGGAACGACCAGCATCAGCAGGCAACGATCCAATACCGCACACAGCCTTTCCTGCCCGGAAAGATTGTTACAAGAGATGGAACCTGACATCATGGACCGAATGGACTCAGCAGCATTATAGGGATTGGTCCATGCACGAAGAAAACGATCTCTTTCTCTTGGTCTGTGTGTATATGGATGTATGTATGTGGGAGAGCGATGGTGTATTGAAAATGTGGGATCTGAGCATGACGTGAATGGTATGGAATAAGGGGTGGATAATGTCCTGGGTTCAGCAGTCATTTTTCTCCTTCGTGGTAGCTGGTGCAGTGCTGTGATTTGACTTCTAGCCTGGGAACAGTCCTGGTGATACCAATGTTTTCGGTTGTTGCTAAGTGATGTTTACCCTGACCAAGGACTTTGTGAGGCTCATGCTCTGCCAGGGAGGAGGGGAAGCTGTGAGGAAGCAGAGACAGGGCGCCTGACTCGGGCTAGCTGGGGAGGTATTCCATACCACAGCACGTCATGGCCAGGGTGGGGGGTAACTGGGAGTTACCCGGAAGGACACGGGCTTCCGGGTGGGACTCCTTTCTTGGCCGGTGGTATTGTATTCTCTTCCCTTGTTATTTTCTCTTATCATTATTGTAGTTGATAGTAGCGGTGGTGATTTGTGTTGTACATTGGTTGCTGGACTGTTCTTGTCTCAACCTGTGGAAGTTGCACTCTTTTGATCCTCCTCCCCGTTCCTCAGGGAGCGGGGAAGGGGAGAGCCCTGGGCGGGGGGGGTGCCTCGATTGCTCTCAGGCTGGCACCACTCACTGGGAGTGAGTGAACAAGCTGTCTGGCTAGGGTTTAAACCATGACATAGTAACATGTCATTAGTAGACATTCTTGTTTACACTCATTGTATGTCACAGAAACATAAGGTAAAATGTTGCTGGAAGGAAATAGGTTGTTTGTAGTTTGCCAGTAGAATGTAATGAAGAGAAAATGAAGTAGGATCCGTTGAGGTGATTATTTTATGGGGGGACACAAAATTTATTTGCTCTTGTGTTAAATATTAGGTGTGCAGAGCTGCTTCTCTGGCAAAGAAACTACCTCAGGTTGTTCTTTTTGCTTTAAATGAGTAGAGACTCAAAAGTAAATGCCAATGATTTCAGGTAAAATAAAATAGAAGCATCTCAGGGAGATTAAAAGATGTCTGAACCCAAGACCAATTTACATCTGAATTTCTGCTTTTAACTGCAAAAAGTGGTAAAGTTTATTCAACTACATGACTTTTAACGACACATGTATAAGCTCTACACTAAAGACTCAAACATGGCTATAAAGAAGAATCTCCTGTAGTGCAGTAAAGACAGGGAACAGTTGGAAATTTCATTGAAACTGAGGAAAAAAAGAGAAGGTGCACATATAGGCTTTGGAAAGATGTATGGAAAAGGTTTAGGAGAGCAAATTGGATGCCCTTAATACCCAGTGTTGACAGAAGCCTGACTACAAAAAATGCTAATGACCTGCAGTTTACTTTTAGACAGGAAACAAATGTATATATGTATAAAGAGCTACTTTACAGGAATTAATGTCTAGCTATATAAAATTAAATAAAGCTATAAGATTTGATATAAGGAAGAAGTTCTGTACTGTAAGGGTGGTGAGGCACTGGAATGGGTTGCCCAGGGAAGTTGTGAATGCTCCATCCCTGGCAGTTGGACAGAGCCTTGGGTGACATGGTTTACTGTGAGGTGTCCCTGCCCATGGCAGGGGGATTGGAACTGGATGGTCTTAAGGTCCTTTCCAACCCTAACTATTCTATGATTCTGTGATTCTATAAAGTTTCATCAGCCCATTTTTCCTCCTGTACTTTCATAGAATCATAGAATGATTAGGATGAGAAAGGACCTTAAAGCTCACCCAGCTCCAACCCCTGCCACGGGCAGGGACACCTCACACTAGAGCAGGTTGCTCCAAGCCCCTGTGTCCAACCTGGCCTTGAACACTGCCAGGGATGGGGCAGCCACAGCTTCTCTGGGCACCCTGTGCCAGTGCCTCAGCACCCTCACGGGGAAGAGCTTCTGCCTTAGATCTAACCTGAACTTCCCCTGTTTAACTTTGAACCCGTCACCCCTTGTCCTGTCACTACAGTCCCTGATGAAGAGTCCCTCCCCAGCATCCTTGTAGCCTCTTTCAGACACTGGAAGCTGCTCTGAGGTCTCCACACAGCCTCTCTTCTCCAGGCTGAACACCCCCAGTGTTCTCAGCCTGTCTCTGTATGGGAGGTGCTCCAGCCCCTGCTCATCCTCATGGCCTCCTCTGGTCTTACTCCATCAGCTCCATGTCCTGCTGTTGTTGAGGACACCAGCACTGCACACAGTGCTGCAAGTGGGATCTCATGAGAGCAGAGTAGAGGGGCAGGATCACCTCCTTTGACCTGCTGGTCATGCTCCTGTTGATGCAGCCCAGCACATAACTGGCTTTCAGCTTATTGCAGGTGAGTGGAGGGCAGTTCCTTTGAATAGTAACTTCCATCTATAAAGCATATTACTGACGCCTACAAATGATATAAAATATACAGGGTCTTAATTACTTTTATTAATTTCAAGATCTTGCCCACAGTGTGTGTTTATTTACAACTGTAAGATCTTCTGTCCCTCCAAATCTTTTAAGAACGCTGCACCCTGCCTCCTCATTAGCTTACTGGTTTTAATTGCTTTTGTTTTACTGATGTTACAGAAAAGTGGCTTTTCAGTAAATAATAGTACTGACTGATTTCAAAGTTTGAGGACCTGGCCTAGATCCAGCCTCATTTTCCTCTTCAAGAACAGGTCACAGAAGTAGGGCGCATCAGACTGGGCTCCCAGTGGGGAGAGGAAAACATGCCATGACTTCTTTTAGGCAGTGCAAGCAGTGCCACCTGGCTCATTCAGCTCAGTTCTGTAGAATCAGGCACAGTAGAAGGTGACCTACCTCCAGGTTGTACATTCAGCTTTAATTCTTTCAAGAGCAGGCAAGTGTCTGCATTTGAAAGCAGTCATCTGATGTTTAGCTTCCTGACATCCCTGCAGGTGGCTGTGCTATAGAAGAGCTCTCAGAGGAGGCACAACCTGTTGGTATTCAGTGGTTGGCTTTTTCTGAGAGAGGAACGTTTCTGAATCATCCCAAACTTGTCATTTCAGTCTTCTACAAATGGCACTGCAGCAACTGAGACAGAGTTCTTCAGATGCCTTTCCCTTCCCTAGTTCTATCCACATAGTCCTAACATATTCAAGTGCTCCAGTGCCTACCTACTGTAAGGCAGAGGCATTTGTAGTGAATAATACTTTTTTGATAGGAATAATATGACATACGTAATGCTTAAGAAACCCTCAGACCATGTACAGAGTGGTCAGTTAATTCAGAAGTGGCAGCTGCCGTTTACCCTCGGATTTTCTTAGTTTTCTAGTATAACTTAGGGACTGTAGTGGTAGGACAAGGGGTGATGTGTTCAAACTGAACCAGGGGAAGTTCAGGTTAGATCTAAGGCAGAAGCTCTTCCCTGTGAGGGTGCTAAGGCGCTGGCACAGGGTGCCCAGAGAAGCTGTGGCTGCCCCATCCCTGGCAGTGTTCAAGGCCAGGCTGGACACAGGGGCTTGGAGCACCCTGCTCTAGTGTGAGGTGTGCCTGCCTGTGGCAGGGGGTTGGAACTGAGTGAGCTTTAAGGTCCCTTCCAAACCCAGGCTGGGATTCTATGAACTTTGGGGGACTGGGGGGAGGTGGTCTCTAATTTTCCCCCATTTCCCCACATATGCCCATGCAGAGGTTCCTGTTGCTGAATTCACAGTACCTGGCGCAGTGAATCTGAGGATCCTGCATTGTATTGACAGGTTATTGTGTTATTTCATCTGATTTCTTCAAAGACATGGAACAGAAGCCCCTAAAATGTGAAAGGAGAACACAGATTTCTTTTCTTCAGTGTGTTCTGATCCTGTTCCCATTTATTTCAGTGGCTTTAGATCAGGCCCTGTTGCTAATTTGCCAGTTTCCCTGGTAACGTTTTATTTTTAGCATCATTATTCTTCAGAGGTCTGGCATGGAGGGTTCAGTTTGAATGTGAACTATTATGATTTTATTTTTAAATGGTTCATTTTGTAGGCAAAAAGGAAAAAGAAAAACCCTAAGCTCTTCCACAAAATATCTGTAAATATCTGGAAAATGTGGCCATAGCACATAGTTAACACCTTGTTACTGCGGTTTTTTGTTTTCCATGGTTTCAGTGGAAGAGTTTTGGAAGACAGGTTGTTCTGCATTCATGGATTTTTAAATCTCTTAAAACCCAGGATCCTCCTGTACACGAGGGTTGTGTTACTCTGGTTTTCAGCTCTGATATCATAGCAGGCCCCTAATGCTCAACAGCACGGTGCCACTGAAAGGAATTGGTCTGGAGATAAAAGAGAAATACTTCTCTCATTCATCTTCAGTCACTTTCTTTCCCTGCACAGTGGCAAGGCAGAAGTAAAGAAGCTGTGGAGATTGCGTTTGTTTCCATTTTTAGGTTCTATTTAATGGCATACTAATTTCTTCAATAAGGAATGAGGAGAGCTGAAACTCTTAGTCTGGAGACTCCACCAATCATGACAGAATGGGATTCTAGCTGGAGACTGCACAATTGTTCTCCTTCTTTTGCTCCAGCATTACCTGATGATCCATTTGGAAACAACACAGTGACTCTGGGTAAAGAACAAATAGCACTTGGGAAGAAATATGGGGGTTCCTTTCTTGATTTAATGCATGAATGATGATTCATTTTAACCCTCTCTCTCAGCTTCCTGACAGAAAGCAGTCCTTGAGATCTGAGGCTGAATTTACTGGGAATGAAAATAATCCTATTAAATATTAATAGGGTAAAAAAGGAAAAAACTGTACCAGCCAGCAACACCACCCCACCCCCCCCCCCCCCCCAGTCCTATATCAGCGTGATGCATAGAGTTCAGTGGTGCTACCTCGCTGTCAAAGAGCATTTTAAAGCTTTCAGTGTTTTTCGGTAGTTTCTGGATGCAGGGTGGCAGGGTGCTGTTTGCCCATTAACAGATGAAGGATTTTCTAATTCTGTCTTTCACTCAAGTTGCAGAGGAAAGGTGATTTGCCAGAATTTATCAGAAGATGAAGAACTATTTATCCTCTTACGTAGGTTCCTATTTATAGTATTTGTCGAGCAAGTTCTCTCCTTGCGAGGGGTTATATGACCACTATGTGGTGTGATGAAAGCCTTCCCATACCTCAGGCTTTGTGAGCTCCTTTTATCTGAAATAATTGCCATAATAAGACATAAGGTCTTAAAAGCTCTTAGGGTTTTAACTGAAAGTCCTGCGCTATTCAGAAGATTCCTTGGTTACAAGCAGATGCTCCTATTTTCCAGCAATGCTGAAATCAAGGCTCTTCTCTAAGTGAAAAAGAGCCTCTCATTTTGTCTGTTGCTAGGGAAATGGTAAGAGAAAAATAATCCTTCCTCTTCCTTGAGAAAATGACCAATTCGTGTCATAAAACGTGTCAATCTCAGGACTTTTTAGGTCTGTAGCTTCATCTGTCCAAACAATCTTGGCTAGGGCTGAGATAAGAGTCTGCCAAGACCTAGGTGCTAATTGGGCCAGTAAGAGCTCATCACTGTCTCTTCAGAGGTTAAATCAGATGATGAGAGAGTGGCTAGTTATGGCCATTGGCCCATCCCAGCTGCCATAGCCAAGAGTTGTGCTAATGGGAGCCGATGGGTTGCTTTCTGCCAAATTGACTTGTTCTCTTCACACAGGCACATTTTTTGGCCTCTCACAGTGAGCAGGAATGGAGGGCTTTTGAAAAGAAGGAATTACTGGAGCTTCCTGAGTACAAAGGCTCATACACATTGCCAGTCAGTCCATTGGATTTGACAGGCAGGAAAGACACATCGGTGAGCAGGGGAGGGCTTGGACATTTGCTAGGGTCCAGCTAGAACATTTCTCATTTGGAGGTTCTGAATTTTCACACTCAACTGAATGCTGCTCCTTTCCTCTGTTAGTGTGGGTTAATAATTAGCCCCTGCTTGCACTGATGGTTTTGTTAGTGCTGATTATTTGATCTGCTTTGGAAGACGCTGTCCCGTTTTGAAAGCTACATGTGATGGTATTGCACATTATTTGCACTTCTCTTCATCAGAACCTTTTTATCCTTTCTTAGTAGGGGGAGAAGGAATGGAGAGCATTAAAAATAGATACCTTGAAGCATTATCAGTCTGTGAGGAGTGTATATAGGCACTTGATATTGGGTTATGTAGTGCTTTCCCTGGTGCCCTGACTGCTAGCATATAAATGCTTGGCAGAGGTTAGCCTCTGGGGTCACTTATGGCCATCTATATAGGTTACAACCGTGCTTTCTCACTGTGTAATAACACAGGGAGGGATTGTGCTTCCCAGAAAATGTTTGATCTAAGGAAAAAGAATGTCAAAATACGGCACACATATGAACATACAGAACCATGGAACAGTTTGGGTTGGAAGGGACCTTCAGAGCTCAACTAACCCAACCCCCTGCAGTGAGCAGGGACATTTTCACCTAGAGCAGGTTGCCAGATGCTCTGTTCTTAATATGACTGCATAGAACATGTGGCTTCACAGAGATTCAGTGCAGCCCTGGCTCTCCTTGTTTCAAAGCTGTGTGAGGCTTTGGGCTTTGAAAATGGTAGCAATAAGAGCCTACCAAATGACAGACCTGCAGTAGTAGTAGTATGGGTCAGTGGTCAACCAGCATGACAAGCAACAGAACAAAGACAAGGGGAAGACAAGGCCAGGGAGTTGGAACTAGGTGAATACCCAAGCCAGGCTGGGATTCTGTGATTCTGTAAGATTTTTTTTGCTAACTTGTATCTGAATTATTCTTGCATCATAAAAAAGGTCAGTGAGAGGAGTCTTTCATAAATCTCATGAAAATGAAAGCATTTGAAGAAACCTCTTCCAATGGTCTGCCATGGTTTAGCAGGTTAGACAAGTCTGCAATCTGTTAGGCATCCAGAGCTCACAAGCAGAGTGGGATATATAAAGTCCAAGCTGTCCTGAGTATTTAAATCACATGCCATTTTTCTGCTCATTATGCAAAAGTAGAAACCTTATGGTCTCTGATAGTAAACCAAGGCATTAAATTGGCATCAGACCCATGGTAGTTCTCAGGAAACTCACACTTAGAAGTGGCCAAAGCCTGCAACTCATCCCTTGCCAGGTTGGCACTGGCACTCTCCCACTCTCAGGGGTGGGAGATACAGGCTGCTGTAACCTCTTCTGTGGAAACTCTTCTCTCTACTAAGTATGGACATAATTGTCTCAGATTATATAGAAAAATCAGAAGTACCAGAGGAGACTGCAACACATACTACTTGGAGGTTTTAGCTAATGCTTCCTTTGGGCCTGGGAACAGATTTCCATCCCCTAGTGATGCTCTGATAAAAAGAAGTGTAGGCCTGGTAGGGCTGGCCCTCTGCTTAAGTATCCACACCTTTTCTGGTGTAAAGCAGGCAAGTTCCAGGGTGACTGCTCTCAAGGTGAATTACATAGCTCAGGCAATGAACATCACTTGAATATGTATATGAAAGAACACCAACAGAGTAGGTACTGAAGACTTCGATAAACATAGGCTGTACATTATAGCTAGTTTTAGGGACAATTCAGATACAGCTGCTGTTGGCAAAGCATTGATTATATTGTTCTTTACAGGTTAGAACGAGCCAAGCTCCCAGCTGTGTGATGCTATTCTCCTAGCGGAGCTATTTTCAGGCTGCAGTGCGGTGTAGGAACAGACATCGTCATCAACAAGCTCAGTCTGAAGCAGGAACTTCTGAAGCAGCTCAGTCTGAAGCAGGAACTTTTCCGAGGGAAAGAATGGAATTCTCTTGATGTCATGGCACCCAGCTATGTTCCAGTCTCCTCAGAATGAACTGATCAGAGAGCAGAGCTTTCCCATATGCATCATTTAGTAGCTGCAGAGGCTCTACCAATCCACGTATCCCTATGGCTCTCACTTCTCTCTGAGCATCACTGGGAAAGTAATAGAGCTGGAAAAGCTGAATGACAGTTGGCCTTTGAAGGTAGGGAGACTTTTCCTCAAACAGAAGAGGTGCTTTCAGGGTCTGAGCTGGCTTCTCGAATTCTGGCTGACTTCTCATCTTAGTGCAAGTTTCTTATTACCCTTTATGGCAAAACCACTGGAGGAACAGATTTCTTCTACGGGAGGTACAACCAAATGATGTCTTTATGTATATTTGGAAAGAGATTACTGCAGGCAAAGCAGAAAACACAAGGCAAGTATTTGCAGCCTTGCACAATTTGTGCCTCCATTTGAATCATCTATTTAGCTTTCTCTTTCTAAAGCCTGGCTTGAACATGCGAACTTTGAGTAAGCTCCCATGTGCCTTACTTGTGTTTTGAGCAAGCAGTACACAGACACTTACTAGTTTTGTCCAATGCTTGATACGGTCTGTGATATAAAGGTTTGTGAGCAGATTCTAGCCATGATTTTATGAACAAGGGTTGTAATGTCTTGGGAAGGTTCCTGCCAAATTAGCTGTGTACTGCTCTGTCACATAAAAGGTCTTCATATGCCTATACCCAGCTGATTATGATACAAGCTTGTCTGATGTGGTTTCTGAAATCAAGGCCTCTGAAGCTCTTTTATAGTCCAGCACAAAATAGATTATGTTTTGGTTTAATCACTCATAGCTTTGAAAACTCCTTTGCTTGATTAGGTACAGCCATCAACCTGGATCCCTGTGAACTCTCTTAGTGACAGTGGTACTGTAGCCAGAATGGTCTAAGAGTAAGACAAGGTCTGTCAGTAGTTTCTCATCTTTAATCAAGCTTTATACTATAACCTGTACATCAAAGATACCCTTCAGAGGGGACTTCATTTTTAGCCTAACTTTAGATGTTTAAAATGTACCTTTTAAAATGTTTGAACTAATTGTCCAGACTCCTTTGTAGTCCATGGACTGGGCTGTTCACAGAGGAGAATTTATCAGATTTGGATGTGTTAGGCATCAGCTGCCAGTGGTCATACCCTAGCAGGAACTGGTTTACCCCCTTTCACTCCTTCCCATGGTCCCTAAGCCGTCACTGTCTGTAGCTTTCCCAGGCTACCAATACATGTCCTAAAGGGTGGGACACCACAACCTTGGTCCCCAGCCTTCCTGCTTCACATAGCCTCATTCAGACCAGTCATCTGCTGGGGCAGGTAACAGGATGCTGCACCAGCGTCTGCTGCTGGCTAAAGGAGAGGTCTCTGCTGAAACTGAGTACTCATGCAGAGGGGTCAGGACACTCTCCAGCCCCAGCCACAAGCAGGGTGCTCCTTCAGTCACTGCAGAGGGAGCAGTGTCACAACTGCTTGTAAACTTCCCTTTCTCTGAGAGCCAACAGACTCTTTTCCTGGTTCACTTTCGAATTGTCAGGGAAGTTCTGGGACAGGGATTGCCAAGTGAGGCACATCTGCACCACAGCTTGGTGTGACACCAGCCAGCTCCAGCATGTGTTTGCTGGGAGCATAGTGCATGGATGATGCTGTACCATGCAGCAGTGCAGCCCAGCAGTGCAGTCAGCTGCCCGGTCCCTCCACCATCCTATGTCCCCAGCTAGAAAGACATGCAACTACAAGGTGGCAGCCTGCATAAAGGTCCAGGGACACGTGGGAAAGCTTCCTGGAGGCAGTTTACTTTTCTG